AAATATTTACATCATGACTTAACCGTTTTTTGTCTATAATTTTGATATGATCCCCGAATGTTTATTTATTGATTGCCAATCGATAGTAGGCTTCGTGACCTTTACAAAAAGGTATAACATTTTGAAATCAGACGGTATTTACCCGAGATATTCAATAAAAATCATCAAAAAAGGATTGTTTTTTGAGCCGACCCCGTTTTTAGCAAAAAACGTGACCCTTGCTTTTTTTCAAATTTGGGTCAAAATTTAGATGTTTGTTTTTTGAATGCCAATCGATAGTACTGATCGTTACGAGTCTAAAAAGGTATATCATTCCATAATTGAACAATATTTGGCTTAGATATTCAACAAAATCATCAACTAAATATTTACATCATGACTTAACCGTTTTTTGCCTATAATTTTGATATAATCCCCCGAATGTTTATTTATTGATTGCCAATCGATAGTAGGCTTCGTAACCTTTACAAAAAGGTATAACATTTTGAAATCAGACGGTATTTACCCGAGATATTCAATAAAAATCATCAAAAAGTTTTGATTTTCGAGCCGACCCCGTTTTTAGCAAAAAACGTGATGTAACCCCTTGCTTATTTTCAAATTTAAGTCATTGCCGAATAGCAATCGAAAGTAGTGATCAAGTCCAAAAAAGTATATCATTCAAGGATCGTAACGTAATGTGGCCGAGATATTCGAAAATTTTGACATATTGACTGAACCGTGCAAAATGAAATACTTTTCTAAAATACATAGATCAAACTTGTTTAGCAAAAACGGTTGGTCTTTGATAGCCAAGTTTTTTAATGTAGATTAATTGGGGCAATCTTTATTACAATAGCGTCGATTCTGATATTAGATACTTTTGATGCCAATTTAATTATTATGGATTTGCACGAGTCCAAAAAGACTGAGATAAGTTCGTTTTACAGCTATGCATAAACATTCCAAGAGCTGATTATCAACAAAGGCTAAATGGTATTTCGCAAGATAAATAAACCATATGCGATTGTGACAAGAATACTCGTAACCAGACACATTCTGGATACGATACAAATCCAAGCCATACAACCATATGGTCACGAAGTTAATATGTTTGGCTCAAGCAGTCGCAGCTGAGAGCTGGGAATGGCTGGGAGTGCACTAAAGTTGACATTAAACAAACAGAGCGTTTTATTCATAGCATTCAATGAGAGAAATGCTGCCCAAAAGTGAATTGTGCACACGCTGCGCCACTTCACATACAAAGACACACACACTCGGCTGCTCACTCCGCTGGCTGTCTGTTGGGCAGACAGCGTGTCTATCAATGCTGCTGCAACTGAAAGTGGGAAACAGGAACGGGGTTCGGGGCTGTTGACACAAGTCCGCACACCGGGCAGGAACTAATTTGGCAGAAGTGAGCGAGATATATTCTGAAAATGAAATCTAAACATCTGCAAAATTACGCGCATAAATCCTTTAACACTTTTGTTTTTGGACGCCGACCTATGAGTTCTGGACTTGGGGGTTGCACTCGCCACGCAGGGGCTCGTCAAATTAGCCCACTTCAGGCTGTGGCATGCAGCGTGCTCATAGCGGGTGCAACAACTGCTGCGGCTCCTCTTCAAACGCAGCCTTTGTTTACACACTTCACAAGGCCTGGCAGTGTCCTTTTTTTCTTCCTTATTTACACATACATATTTATATAGATTTTTTTTTTGCCTGTCCAGCACTCAGCGCGCGTGTTGTTGATGACTTTCTCTCCCTCTCTTTCGCTCTCTTTGAGCCGTATGCAGCTGCAGTTGTTATTGTTGCCAAGACGTTGGTTGCCTATCAAAATAAAAATAGCTTGGCCTACGCCTGGAGTGGGTCATGCGTCTTGGCAAAACAAACAATGCAATGACACCACCCGCCCCAAGCCACAACGCTCTTCTACTTGACTGCTCCTCAATGGGCATGTGGACGTGAATGAATTGTTGCCTAGGTCGGAGCCTGCCTCTAATGACCCCTATCCCTCTATACCTTTAAACCTAATCATATATCGATGATTCTTTGCTCTGTTCTGCTCTGCTTGCTGCTTGATTTCACACACAAACGCCACAAGGTGGTCCCCTATACCCCATCTCTCTCTCCTTGTCTCTCTCTCTCTCTACTCCATGCGGCGAGCATCCTTGGGCACATTTTGAAGCAGTCTTGTGTGGCTGCCAGTGGCTTCTTTTTTACCACTTTCTAACCTCAGTCTGCCAGTTTACTTGTTCTTGATGCCTCTTTAGCGCTTATCATGCTCAAATGATAATTGAAGTGCCACACAAAAACTATTTATCCTCGGGCTGTCGAGCGTACTCCTCTGGCTGTTGCCGTTGTTGCTGTTGTGGTTATTCAATATAACTCAGCTCACAATACAACCACTCGCACACGCATACACACATTCACATAAACAGAGAGACACCCGTACAAATAATGCGTGCAGTGAAGCCCGCGCTACCCTTTGCTGTTTTTTGTTTTTAGACATTTTATTAAATTTGTTTCTAGTACCCAAACATTTTGCTTGGGTACCGTCAATCCTGTTCCGGTCGAGTCCTGTGACATTTTCCACTTTTTGCCCATTGTCAATTTGATTTCATTACTTCTGTCGCCGTCGCTGATGTCGTCATCATTTCTACCTATTAATAAAGGCTGTCGTAGGGCTTTACCATTTGCATTTGGCTAGGGTATTATTCGTTTGTTGCCAGGGCTAATTGAATTGTCGCGCTGATTGGAATCTCTTGCAGATACCAAATGAGTCAAAATATATGTATATATATATATATATATACACTGTTTATATATGAGTTAGTTAATCTTTATGACACCCCGTAAATAATAATTTGTAGCTTTTGTTATGGCCACGGTAAATTCATGGTTTAGGAAAGACCTTACTTCGAGCTAGCTTAATTACACACACGCCCCCAAATGGTAGTGATTATGGGCAATAAAACTTCACAATTGTTCGCGGAGCTTGCACAGGTGACTGCACAATACAGATATGCATAAAACTGAATCGAGTTATGGGCCCATAACAAGGCAAGGTCAAATGGGAATGAACAAATAAGAGCACATTTTTCTAAAAGAATAATTGAATAAAGAGTTTTCCCTGCTTATATTTATTCATCCGAATATACAATGCTGATTTGCAATGAAAATTTATGAAAATAATCATTGATTTGTTTCAAAAATATAAAAATACTTTTACTCGGAAATATCATCGTTCAATTAATGGATTTTCGATGACTATATCCCCTATGATAGCCCATATCATAGTACCGGCACTGTAGAAAACCACATTTTTAGCCATGAATGTCAGCAGGCCTCATCGGCATCATCAACAGTTTCTTGGCATGCAGAGCATTGAAAGCAGTTACAGGAACAACCAGCATAACAAGTGAAGCCAAAACAAGAAAAACAGAAGTTAAGTTTTGTGCAAAATCGCCGTAGCCAAAGCCCTAACTTAAGCCAAAAGCCAACTAGAAGTTGCCAAAAGCACAAGACAAAAGAAGAAAGCCAGAAACAGCATCAGGCAAAGGCAGCAGCAGTAGCTGAAGGAGCGCCAAACTTTTGTGCACAGCGCCATGTTTGGTTTGTCTTGGCAGTTTCCGCCTCTTCCTTTTGTGCCTGTCTGTGTGTGTGTGTGTGTGTGTGTGTGTGTGTGTAAGTGGGTGAGCCAGTGCGACAGCAAAGAGCCAAGGCTGGTTGACTGCTCAACTGACAGTTTGCTGCGTTTTTATATGCCTGCGCATATACAGGGTGACACTGCCTTTGTCAATGAGCCGTGGCCATGCTGCGGGCAATTGCATCACCCAGTTGCAACTAGCCAAACAAAAAGTAGAAAGCAAAGTGCAAAAAAGGCAAGGCCACCGTTTGCAGCATGTATTTGGTCCACTCAAAGCTGCAGCAGCTGCAGCAGCAGCAGTGGCCGCAACACCAACTGCTTACAGCAACAAAAAAAGCCATAAGAAATGGCCATTGCAGCTTGCAGCGAACACGCCAAAGTTGCCGCGACTCTCAGTATGTCTTTGTGCGCAATCAGCAAACACCAAACGCCAAACACCACAGCCACCCGCAGCAAACCAACCGCCCAGCTGAGAAGTTTGCCTGAAATTTATGCCAAGACGATAAAAAATAAAAGTTCAAGTCAGTGGCTGATGACGGCTGCGACAACGAGAACGACAACAAGAACGACAACGACAACAGGCACGACGACGACGACTGCCATGCAGTTCCCCTGCGAAAGGGCTTTGACGGCATGCGCACCAGGGAAAATGGTTGCCGGGGAAGCCGGCCAGCCAATCGGAGCGCGTCTGAGGTGTGGCCTTTGCGAGCGAAGGGAAATTACGCTTGAGTAAATTTCCCTCGCTGCTAATAATCACTTGAGACATGCGCTGTACACGGCAGGGGCACTGGGTTTGGGGGTTGGACCATTGGCTGGCATTGTTGCATGCAACCCTTCGCATGCAGCGGGAAATTCCCAGCCTCATACTCAGTCCCAGTTGCCAGCTACCAGTTGTTGTTGCCGTTGCTTTTGTAAACATGCGCAGGCGCAATGAAACTCTGTGTGTGTGTGTGTGTGTGTGTATGTTGTATGCGGGGGTACATTTTAGGCTGGGACTTTTGGCCGCCGCAGTCAGCAGTCGGCTTCGAGCACTGGAGGCAAAGTGAAATGCTTTGATTTCGCAGATTGTTCGATCACACGCAAACTGACAGCGGACACAGCTGGTTGTCAGCGCGCTTGCCACAGTATCCGGCATATATAAATATAAATATAAAATACGTTGAAGAACTCGTGCAAGTGTTGAGTGTTGCGTTCGTGTTTACAGTTTTGTTTATCCGTGTGCGACTTGTGTGCAACTCTTAATATTATATGTTAGTCTTGCATGTGCTTTAAGGAACACGCAATTGCAAATTGAACTGCAAAAATATAAATAAAATAAATAAAAACAAAAGCAAAAAGGAAGCGTGAACCCGCGTCTAACTGTGTCAATACAATGTTGGAGTTTTATCCAATGCCCACGAACCTCAATCAAGTCGGTGGCAGTTTATATTCGCTGCAGCAGAATCATGGCGGCGCACGTTTCCTGGACAGTCCCAGTGCAACGGCAAATGTAAACAGCAACATGACAACTGCCTGTTTGCCCAACAGCAGCAGCGGCAGCAGCAGCAGCAACAACAACAGTAATATCCATAGCAACAACAACAGCAACAACATCAATTTGGCAGCAAGCATTTCCGGCAGCAGCAGCAACAACCCGACAGCAACAGCTTCATTAACGGCATCTGTAATTTCCTCACAACAACAACACCAACAACAGCAGCAACACGCGGTCTCACCAGCGCCAATTAACAGCTGCCCAACGCCCACAGGTCACAGTCCCATCAACAACAACAATAACAACAGCAACAGCAACAACAACAACAGCAATAACAATAACAGCAAGAGCCAAAACTCCGCCTGCAACACATTAACAGCTGCTGCTGCCGCAACAACAGCAACAGCAGCCATCTCTGCGCCAGCAACAGCAGCAACTGGAGCGGGCACCGCATCGACGGCGTCGGCGTTGGCGCTGGCGTCAGCATCGAAATTGTCTGCTGATTGCAGTGGACGCACAGGTATGTTCCAAAAGTATTTTGCACCGGCAGTTGAGGCATTTACCGGCTCGTTCTGGTTCCGTTTCCGTTGGGGCTGCCACGTTTTTCGTTTTTGGCATACTTGTGTGTGCTGCGTGGCGTGTGGGGCATGGCCAGATTCTGGCTGTCTGGCTGGAGAGTTTTGGTGGTGGTGCGGGCGGGCGGGCAGGCGGGCAGTCGTTCATGTAGGCGTCGTAGGCGAACGTTGCTCGAAGCCGGATATGCGTGGCTTTTCGTCCGGTGTTCAACTTACGGCTAGTTTGCATCGCTCCCGTTCTTGTTGCTGCTGCTGCCCCTGCCCGCTGCACACCCCGCTCAAAGTTGGCCCAAATTATTTTCGCAATTTGCGTGTGATATTCTAGGTTTTGGGGCTTCGTCTCGATATTGCCGCTGATGTGGCTGGCTGCTGCTTGAAGCTTTAATGCACTTTCAATTTGTTAAGTTCATCAAGTTCTCAGGATTCTGGAACGAAATGGGTTTTTAGTAAATGCGTTTTGTTTTGAAATCCGTTTAACAGAAGATACGATTTTATAAGCAGAATCCTTTATTCCACATTCCATTTAGGTAACTTGATTAAATCATAATTCTGAGGATTGTCGGCAGTTCTGCTTTGTAAAATTCGTATATGAATTTAATTTTGTTATTTGCATTATTCAAATTGTAAAAATAAACTTTACTGCTCTTCTTACGAGTTCCAAAAAATAAATAAGTAGAGCTTATTAGCTTGAATATATGTTTGGATGAAGAGCTTTAAACTTTGTTTGCCTGATAAGTTAAGCTAGAAAACAGAAATATGTTACAAAAAATACTTATTAAAACATTTCAGTAGGCATTTCAATATGGCTAGTTTTGGTGTTTAAAACAATTATTTTCGCGCACGCTAAATAATTAAATGTTTGGAAATGTATTTATGAATTAGCTAAGTTAAATCTGCCCAAGGACAATTTGTGTTTGGCTTTTGGAGCGATTTCAAATAAAAGCACACAAACCAAACTTGTGGCCAGGGCATAACCAAATAAATGTCAATTGATATTCGTGTGACAAATGCACTTGAAAGCGTAAAGCATGCAATTATAATAACAATTGTTCGTTCCGACGGCAAAAGCATTGCCAAAAGTATGAACGCAAGTTGACCACAAAATAATTTTGACAATGACGCATGTTATGTGTGAGTGTGTGTGTGTGTGTGCGTGTACAGGGCGATTAAGGCATGCAACAGACTAGCACACACACGCACACCCCCACGCATGCAGGCGCCTCCAAGTAGGCAGCACTTTTTAGCAGCTGCAACGAAAGTGTTGCTGGCAAACTTTACGAAATTCTGGCCAAAATGCAAAGTGTGCAAACAATGTGTGATGCATATGCGAACCCGGACCCCAACTGGGCGAGCTCTGTCAAGCACGCAAATATTTCGCCACACACACACACACACCGACACACACACACATACAGAGAACCACACGTTTGTGCTGTTGGCTTTATGCTTGTATTTGCATATGAAATGTCTATTAATGGCTGGCCAAAATGGCAGCAAATAGTTTCCGTTTGCCAATCACTTTGGTGCTAGACTTGAGCATTGCTCATCTATGAATTTGAATTTGAATTTGAATTTGACGCCAAAACCAAACTTTAGCCCCCAACCCAACCCAAGCCAACCCGAAACCCCAAAACCAACTGCAGCACCATCAGCTGCAAGTGGGCGAGGAATTTCATGGCATTTGTGGCTGCCTCAGCGTTTTGGCGACCCAAGCTCGGAAATGAACACACTCAACGCTTAACAGCCAGCAGCCTGCCACATGCAACCTGCTGCCTGCTGCCTGCAGTCCGCCCCAGCTATGCGCCGTGGGTCTCAGCATATCTGGTTGCTGCGGCGCCTTCAGCTTGGCACTGCCTGTGCAACTGAGTCAATACATATACATACAAAAACCCACACACACACACAAACACACATATCACCATATGTGGCATATCCTCCATATGCATAGCTTTGCCACTTTCACTAGACGGTGGCTGTGCGGGGCTTTAAATTGCGGCCGCTGTAATTAAAGCCGTCGTATCATGAGCTGTCACAAGCTGTCTGCCAAAATCTCCGTGCCACGTGGACTATTTGGCTGCGACTTGAGCCCAAAATTTATGCCACAACTTTGGCTGCCTGTCAATTTATCATCATAGAGCTGCGCTCGCCTGTCAATGTGTCAATAAGTGCGCCATAAAGCTTGGCCAACGGTGGATTGGGGGATGAGCTCTACTGCCTGCCTCTGTCCTAATCAGAGACGCCGTTCGTTCGCTGATAAGCCACAGGAATGATAACACGATCACAGCTGATAAGAGCGTTTGGGTGCTGTTGTCTATTAACTGTTTGTATATGTTTATGGGTGCCCAGGTTTATCGGCGTGTTGATTTTGGGAATTATCTGCTGTTTAATCGCGCACATTTGACATGAGTGCGCCGCACTTGTTTTAGCTGTGTTTGCGTTTGTATTCCGACAAGTTGGGCCTGATCAAGGCGACGGCTAATCAATCGGCAGCCCCGCGGCAGACTTCTGTTGCGCTGCCAATTGTACATTTATTGAATGCGAACAACGATAAATACACATTTCAAATTGTATATCTCATATGCATAGCTCGTATCATCACATTTCGCAAATGCGTCAAGCACACACAGAAATTGTCCGCTTGCCTTTTGGCTTTTGGCTGCAACAAAACGAAAAATGCCGCTCCATAAAACTGCAACAAAAGGCCATAAATTCCGATTAGATTACACAAAGCGAAATGTCAATGGTTTGGCAACACAAAAAGACAATTCCCCACACAATATCGCATTCACAATGGTCACAGGACGAGCAGCAGACTGAGAAAAAAGAAAAACAAAGAAATTGCCAATTCAAAAACGGGACTTACCAAATGATCCTGTGCAGCGTGTCCAAACTCTAGCCTAAAACTTTTCCGCAGCAATATTTTCGCGTTATCACAATGCGATTGGACATATGTATAAACATACACACACCCGCACACACACACACACGTTTGGAGCAATGCAGCTGCTTTTTATAGCATACTTTTGAGGGCGCGCTTTATATCAAGCGATATGCCAACAGCTATACCCATCCATAGTCATCATCAGGGCTGCTGCCTGCTCCCGCTTCTCCCGCTGCTCCTCCTCTTGTCAACTTTATGCTGCGCTGGCTTAGCACACACAACACAGGCAGCTGCACAGCCATGAGTATTGGGTTTAAGCTGTTTTGGCTGCTCGTTTAGCTCCCAAACATACACACTCAGACACACACACATAAGCACATAAATATGCATAGATCAGGGAGGGGCTGCCATTGTGCCAGCCATAAATCATGCACATTTTTGCTGCCCGTGAGCCACAGTCATATAATATGGGAGCAGCGCCGCCTGCCACCAGCCCCGTCCCACCCTGTCATTCATTTTTCAGTTGCTGCCATCCAATTCTCATGGCGCTCGTCATTTTGCCTTTTTTTATGTTTACAGCAGCTTTTGGCTGTGTGTGTTAGAGAGTTTTTTCGGGGTACTACTTTTTATGACTGGTTTACAGTTTCAAGTGTGCGTGCATGTGCACAGATTAGTCGAGTTAGTCACAGACACATATTAATCTTTGTGCAGGGCATTCCTGCTGTACCAGGATCTAGCGTGTAGCTAGCTATAACTAGACGGTATTTTATTTGGTATAAAGCCTTTAAATAAGTGCTCCCTAGATTTCTTAGATTATCTTATTCTTTGTAAAAACTAAGTGTTGGAAATATAGAAACAGGCGGAGCAGACGACCCACAATTAACAGTCGAGTAGATATAGTCTGCCTGTCCATCCGTTCCTCTGGTTGAGCTCACCAAACATAAATTATGTTTAATTATACTACAGTATGTATGGAGTGATATTTATTATATATGATATTTGCAGTGAGTCAGTCTTGAAGTAGCCTCAGCTGGCGCCATGCTAATTTTCAAGCTTAGACTAATCGTGTGCCACATCAAAGGTAAATCCTTGCAACAGCTTTCGGCTTCCCGCTTCAATTGAAAGTGCGCTTCTATTGGCCTTTGGGCTCATCAATTTCAGACTCGCAAAATTGTAGCAAACTTTACGTTTCAATTACGCATCAAGGAGCTATCAATACAAGCTGTTACATTCGGCGACGGCGACAGATAATTTTTTTTTGTTTTTATTTTCTTTTTGCTTTTGCTTTTTTGTTTGGAAACACTTTTGACTGCCAGGAGCCAGAAGTGCGAAACAATGAGCATAAGCACAACAGCAGACGGGACAAAAACATTTTCACACGATTTGACAACGTCCTCGCCTTCGTACTTCATACTTCATTCTCCGCCCCCACCGTCATTCTTCATGCCTGTTGTCCTCCTGCAGCAACATATGCTGCCAGCACGTAGGGGATCAGCTTTTTTTTGGGCGTACAGTGGGCTAACAAATCGATTTTATCACTCACTAACAAGCATTATTTCTGTTCGTTTTTTTTTCGCTTACTCGTAGAAGTGGGCCACATCAAGTGCGAGAAGAACTATGAGCTGTGCGAGGGCTGCGGCCAGAAGATCCACGACCGCTATCTGATGAACGTGGGCGATGCCAACTGGCACGAGCAGTGCCTGGCCTGCTGCTACTGCGGCATTCAGCTGCACCACACTTGCTACGTGCGCAACTCGAAGCTCTACTGTAAGCTGGACTACGATCGGCTGTTTGGGGTGAAGTGCGCCGCCTGCTGTCATGCCATATTGCCGCAGGAGCTGGTGATGCGGCCCATACCCAACTATGTATTCCATCTGCCCTGCTTCGTGTGCTACGCCTGCCGTCTGCCGCTCCAGAAGGGCGAACAGTTCATGCTGCGGGACGGCCAGCTCTTCTGCTATCGCCACGATCTGGAGAAGGAGATATTTCTGGCGGCTGCAGCCGCACAGCACTGCGGGTTTGTTGGGCTGGACGAGGAGGATCTGCTGCGGCCACGGGACGGACGGCGCGGCCCTAAGCGACCGCGTACCATACTAACCTCCCAGCAGCGCAAGCAGTTCAAGGCCTCGTTTGATCAGTCGCCCAAGCCATGCCGCAAGGTGCGCGAGGCGTTGGCCAAGGACACGGGTCTATCCGTGCGTGTGGTGCAAGTCTGGTTCCAGAATCAGCGGGCCAAGATGAAGAAAATACAGCGCAAGGCGAAACAGAATGGCGGCACTGCGGGCGGCTCAGGCAATGGGCGTGGCAACAGCAGTGCCGGCGCCTCTGATGACAAGGACGCCAGCGAAAAGGAGGAGAAGTGCGTGAAACAGGAGCATGGCGTGGACAATGTGGGCGGTTTCCTGAGTGGCATGGACAGCGCATTTGCCAGTCAGCCGCTGAATCCGAATTTGCCCTTCTCACCGGATGGTGCGTAGATCTCATCCCAATTATACTTTAGTTTAATTCAACTAATGCAGTAATTATTTTCCGTAAAGCAGACTATCCGGCCAATTCGAATGACAGCTTCTGCAGCTCCGACCTTTCGCTGGACGGCAGCAACTTTGACCAGCTGGATGACGACGCCGATTCGCTGTCCCTGAACAATCTGGAGCTGCAGTCGACCAGTTCGTCGGGGAACCACAATCAGCACTCGAATCCGCACGACATGCTGGCCAATCTGAATACGAGCCTTATCAATCCCATCGACAAGCTGTATCTCATGCAGAACTCGTACTTCAGCTCGGACCACTAAGCGCCGGACCCGAACACGCACACGGACACAGACAGAGTCGTATCCAGACGAATTTATTAGCGTTAGAGTTGCGGGCTCCGGTAAGGAGCATGTTGGTAGGCACTGTAACTCCTTAGTTAACGGCAACTAAGTCATTTCGCCAGTTGGCTTTTTTTGGGAAAGTTGAGATTTTAAGTAAAAATGATCAAATGTGATTTTTAAGCTAAACGAAGTTTTAAGAAAATTGCATTACAGCGATATAAACGACACGTAATGCATAAATTATTGTTAGTTCGAACTAAGTACATAAGTAGAGAAACAGAAAGATAAAATCAATGTGAGCCTATGTTTGTAAATAGTTTTAGAACCAAAAATTGTTATAAAAATGTAATTTTAATTAAAACATCAATAAATGATATATTAGCAAGTGCAATTTAAACACCTGGTTATCAATATACAAATACTATTTAGATTTTGAGAATGGATTTAGGCAAACAGCTTTTCTCATGGTGCTTAACTTTCCGAACTCAGTGTTGAAGTTTTTCACTACATGTGGCGCTCTCTATCGTCGGCGGCACTTTCAAAGTTTTCCACTTTACAAAAGCGACACGTTAGAGTCAATGTTTGTCTACTGGCCAATAGAGGGCTATTGATGCTACCAACCAATTTGTGGCGGCCATTCGATAAACTAAAGTAAGCCGCTAAGCGCAGCAATTTAAAAAATGATGCCTTCTATTTCCATTTACAACCATGAGCTGAAAGCTTTCACAATTAACTTTGTAAATAAAAATCAAGCAAATATAAATGTGCTGAAATACTGATTTGCACAGCTTGCATTTCCTTATAGAACTAAAATCAAAACAATTTTAGAACGTTAACAGCTGATAGAATGTGGTAGACGATTGACAGTAGAGTATCGAAAACTATCGATAAGTCAAACAGGGACCACATGCTTGCATAAAAAGAGTTACAATATTCTTCACAGTTTGGCACTGTTAGAACGACGTATCTTATTTATGTTATTTAATTGTTTAGTCAATCATTTAACTTATCAGAGTCGAAATTCGATATATTGTATTAACATTATTTATTTAAATTGAGTGAGTAGTAGTAACTGCTGAAAATAAACTAAAGAATTTTAAATTGCAGCAAATAAGAGCGCGGTGTTAACAGCAGCTCATCAAAGTTAAAGTTTTTGGGTGCCCACAGTTGAAACTATCGCTATCAGTGTTGAGAAACAACTGTACAAGACGCAAGAAGAAGCAGCATTAATAAACAATATAAAACCATTTAATTTGCAATGGTAAGCATAGCATTAATACCAATGAAAATGTTTAACCAACAAATCCAATCTCCTCACAGCTCTTTTATTCGTTCTTCAAATCGCTCGTGGGCAAAGAAGTTGTGGTCGAGCTGAAAAATGACCTAAGGTAAGTTGCGCTTTTGGCGCGTGTCAGTACGCTAAAATGTAACTAATGCCGGCAAATTTTCAGCATTTGCGGCACGCTGCACTCCGTTGATCAGTATCTTAACATAAAACTGACAGACATCAGCGTCACAGATCCCGACAAATACCCGCACATGCTGAGCGTCAAAAACTGCTTCATCCGCGGCTCTGTCGTGCGCTACGTGCAGCTGCCCGGCGACGAGGTGGACACACAGCTGCTGCAGGACGCGGCGCGCAAGGAGGCGGTGGTTAGCACGAGATAAAGGTGGCGCTCTCTATGGTACGAATTATACATTAAGCCGGGTTCCCATGTCTAAGAAAGTTTCCACTTTGCGATGTACATTGAATTGTCTATATGTCTGACCTACATCTAAGTGAAAATCTGTTAATAACAAGAAATTTGATTGAATATACGATTATTTAGAAAAACGCAAATAGTTTGTTCTTATTTTTAGACTTGGCAAATGGCAGCCGCTGACTAGACTGGCTTTTATGGAATATGTTATAGGACTTTTTATATAATGAAGGCATTCTTGTACATATGCAATCCATTTAGTTTATGTACAGCTCATAAATTTTTGATGAGTCACTGGGGGTTTCCGCCGTTTGGTTCGCCCACTGAATACCAGGCATCTAACCTTTATATGTACGCTTTTATGTTTTTGTTTTGATGAGCTACGAAATCATTATTGGTCTACGCATGAATGGCATTAATCGCTCCGAATTGTATTATAAAAGGCTGATTGTGGGATGGAAATGTGTTTAGGCCAAAGTCAGAAGTTGTGTTGTAACTGGGAACCTTATTCATGCATTATTATTATAAAATGGAAATCTGCCTAAGTGAGTCTCCTGTGCGCTCCATTTAATTTTTCGTTTTACGAGCTTTCAATAATTATCGACAAAAATCTTGAACTTGTTTCTGGTTTGTGTTCAGTGATTGTTAAACTGTTCCACTTTAACTGATGCACAGAGCCAATAGATCTTCTCTGTCAGGTCAAACCATTAAATCATCATTAAACCAGGGTGGGTAATCGAAATGCTTTACATATCAGAGTTCCTTCGCCATGGTGTGCCCTGTGACTCAGAATTTGTTTTTGCGGGAAGCGAACGTGAGGCTGAAACAAAGCAATCGCACACTCATGCTGTGCACTTTATGACATTCGAATTTAAATTCACGAGCAGACAATTGCCGGCGCGGTGTCTAAATGCCAAGCAGATGCCTATTCAGGGAATTATTTGGTAAAATATCGTGCCATCAAATGATGGACGTGTCGCCGAGTTTGGTCGTCTGCCTGTGCATAATTATGTCCGAGCCGATGTGAACGTGGGCTCCGCGGTGTGTCCGGCGGCCCTCCCGGAGAGTTTACAGTGCGCACCAATAAAAACAAACTTTGGTCAACCATTAAATGCCCCACAGCCCCATTCACCCGCCAGCTAGCCACGTTTTCCATTATGTTGGTAAATTGGTTCCGACGTCGCTTTTTTTTCCAGCAGCAGCTAAACAAAAATTTCGTAGCACATATTTTGGCGTAGCGAAGCTGATTCCTTTGGTCGTTGCGCGACGTTTTGTTTTGCATTTGAACACGAACTCTGCAGTTATAAAATATGTAGCGTCCCGCTAAATGTCGTGCAGGCAGGGGGCGAGTGGTCGCAGATGGGCGTGGGTGCGGGTGTGGGTTTGGGTTTGGGTGCAGATGGCTCCGCCCAACAGCGAATTGCGAAGTTGTGCATAAAAAGTGTAATATGCCAGGCTAGGATATACTGTCGATGGGTTTGAGCTGTGCCGGATTTACGAGACTAAGCACAGGCATAGTCATAGGCGTAAGCATAGGCCGGATTCCGAGCGCTGGTTCATCAACGTGTTGAGTTGTGCGTGGTGCGTAAAATTTGGTTCGTAAATTTGTTGCCATGCTCTCGTTTGGTTTTTATTAAAAAATAAACTATACAAATTTTACAGAGGGTATCTAACATGTATAAATACACACATAGAAAGAGATGAATAGATGATGTACATACAAACACACACACACACATTTATATACAAACATGAGTTTAATTGGGAATGCATAAGAGTCTCCATGGTTGTTTTCGAGCTTTCAAGCATGTTGTCCTGCGGACAATTTCGTTGAATACCGTTTTTGCTCTTTTTTTTGCTGTTCACAATTTCGAACATATGCATATACATATGTTTGTGTGTGCAGGTATGTACATACATATATGTATAGTAAACATACATAGAAAAGTTAAGTACACGCTTCTTAAGTATTATGGGGATTTAGTCGATGTAATTAACCTGTATGGATTACAGTTTTTGCGTTAATGCAGGTAGCTCAAACTCACAATAAAATTACGGCTAATTGAGTAGTCTGTGTGGAGTCCTGTTCCATGTCCATCTAGGTAGCACTTGATGCTGCTTATAGTATATTGCGATTTTGTGTTTAATTAAAATGACATATATGTATGTAAATGGCCATCGGATGAGAACGTGTTTTTCCCGCATTCGAAATGAACTCGCAACTGAGCTTTATAGCTATTAAAATATCATCAAATTTACATTAAGACTCCGCCTCACACAGATATATACATACACATAAACATATGCATAATTTAATATGTAAATATAGTCATGAACCGGCGCGCAGCTCTTGGCCAATTAATTGTCAGCTGCTCTGCTTATGCCCTACACTTGGCTAATGCTTAGCCATATTCAACTAAGCCTACAATTACGACTATCCACACGAACAGTGTTCAAAGACTTAATTCTCAGTTAGTTACACTAATCAAATGTTGCATGGCTCGATGATCTGATCATCGGCAACACCCTGCCCTGCCCCGCCCCGCCCTGCCTTGCCTTCCCTTGCTACGCCCCGCTGGCAAAGCAATCTTTCGAACAACCTCACGAGCATTGGAAGAGTCGGCGTCGCGGTTCACGCAAAGTGGCCGCGTTTTAACTGTAAATTTCACAGCAGCTTAGACTGGTTTAGTGTGCGGCAGCCGTGCCGGACGACTCTAGGAGTCCCTGTTGGCGCCGCACTAGCTCCTGGCTCAGGCAACGGCAGCAGGAGCAAGCATCCTCCACTGCGCGCATTTTTGCACCTACCTGTGCCTCTACCGTCACCATCGCCGCCAGCTCTGCTCACACACTGGACACACACTCTTTATTGTCCACCCGGAGACTTGCACCCGTCATAAGTTTGTTTCCATTGGCCACGCCCACGCCAACGCCACCGCGCTGACTGTCGTAATTGAGCACTAGCGTAGAGGGCTTCGTCTGGAGCAGTAGCTCCTCCTGTTCTCGTAGGCAGCCCGAGTGCCGCGTAGCTATTGCTGAGCTGTGATTCGGATGTGGGCTGCGCACGGAGGAGCTCTTTCTCATCATATGAGGCGTGGCACCGCTGCCACCCGCGCCGCCCACCTGCAACAGGCCCACCTGCTCCTTAAAGGGTCCGCCAGCTGTGCCGTTGCTCGAACTACGGTAATAGCTCTGCTGCCGGAAGGTGCGCATTTGCCGGGCACTGCCACCAGCCGCATCCACCTGCGTCACGGCCGTCAGCATGGACGGGGTGCGCTGTGAGTCACCTCTATAAGTAGCAAAATATTGCAATAATCCGAGATTATCGGGCA